TTTCTTTTTTTTTTTTTTTCTGCATGTGCTAAGCAACAACGGTCATAACAGCAACACGGCGGCAACAGGACACAACAAAGTGCCAGAGCAGCATTTAAAAAACGCTGCTCTCCACTGACAACAGGCCACCAGCTCTTATCGGAGTCACCTGACTTTGCCTCCGGTGCCTGGCTCTCCTGAGTAAATGGACTTTGAGTGACTGGCTGCTGATGCTAAAAGCACATGCTAAGAGTTAGCGATGGGTCAAGTCAAACATGTCAGCCTCACAGGGTTAAAAAAGGATCCTGAACTTGTCAGAGACACGCATGTTTGACATGCTGCGGGAGCTGTGTAAACACTGAAAACAGAGGCGTCTCTCAGGGAGGAAGAATGCCTTTAAGGCACATTAATATTTGACACCTTAAATATATTTGATAATCATCAGAAATGCATTTCACTGCCGCGCTCATCGCGCATGGAATTCCGTGGAACAGCACTGTGTTTGGGAATCACGGACTTCACAGATGCAGCACTAAAAACATCAGTCAGTAAAGCTGGCAGTTTATAGAGAGAAAGGTGAGGGACAGAACAAACAATGTTAAAAAGGCCTGAAGGTCACGGAGGGCACTTGACCCTCGGGACCCTAGGGTACGCCTTAGAGTTCGACAGAGGTTGGAAAACAAACACGGAGCCCGAGGGGAAGGGGAAGCCCAGCTAACACGGTTCCACGCACAGTGGAGAGACAGAAAGGTTTGACAAATGCCTCGTTCAAGATGGATAATTAATCCTGAACGGATTTATGTCAACAAGTGCATCCAAAGGTCAACTGCCTGTGTCCTGAAGGATCTGGCTTCAAAGTATCCCGTAGGTACACACAGGTATTTGCTGCCTTCAGAGATGAAAGATGGGAAAACCACTAAGCAGCGATGACAAAGCAAAATACAACTGACGACACACGTCCAGAGCTCCTCAGGGCTTTTCCTCCAAAGGTGCGTGTCTACGACCTTAGAAATGAAAGGCCATTTAATATTCCAGGTCTATTATAACGCACAGACACACACTGTAGTCGACCACGCTCCGCTCTCTTCCTCTAATTCTCCCAGGCCTCCACCTCTCTCCTTTTGCATTCCTGGCTAATAGCATCATTATTGGCTCTGTCCAGCAAAACCCAGGATCCTTGTAATCTTACATGGGTGGAGCAGAGGAGGGAAAAAAAGCTGCTACTCTGCATAGAAGGAAACAAAGGACAATGGAATGGTCAAAGAAGACACCAGTCACCAACAAATGGTTGCTGTGCGCTGGGTGTCTTTGATCACACACAGGATGTACACACTACCTCACCATCACTCCACACCTGGACGCTGGGTCCATTATTATTAACTAAAGTAAACTTGCAGGGAAAAAAAAAAGAAACAAACTCTGGTTTCCTGCAAAAGCACCGGGCTAATTACAAGACTGATGGACACAGATGGAAACAATAGTTAAACCCAGTTAGTTTGAAATGAGCTGATATTAGACTTTATAAGCCTGTAATTCACTTTATTACCTTTTCAATTTGGCTGATGCATGTTCTGGAATTTTTTTATCCTCAAGTAAATAGAGCTGTTTTTGTTATATCTCACTGTGCAGTTTACATTTCTGTTCAATTAGTATTGGAGGTTTTTAATACTCGTGCAGAGACTCCAGTCTCCACACAAACACAACATTCATGAAAGGCCAGCATCAAAAATGGAATATTACTGCAACACTGTTTGGATGAAGTTCCAGTATGTCTCCACTGAGTTTTTTAAATTAAAAATAAAGGGATGAGTCGTGAAAATAAAAGTAATAAAAAAAATCCTGCATTACACATTTACTGTTCTCTATCTAACAGACCCTCTCACAGCACGAGAGTCTTCACAAGGACAGACACGTGAGCTCGGGGACGTCCACAGCACTATAGGAAGGACAAATAGGACGTCCAATGGACATTTCTAACACAGTGACTCACAATCTACTCAAAACCTTAAATCACATCCTGATTTAAGGGGGGGGGGGGCGGAACCCCCGCCCTCTATGGCCACAGCAAGACAAATTAATTTAAATTTTGATGTTTTATTGTTTAATAGCTGTGGTTATTACTCCCCCTGGTATGCTCTGGCGCCCCCCAGGGGAGGCAGAGCTCACACTGAAAACCATTGAATTGAAGTAATCCAACCAGATACAACTGTAGACCTGGACCTCACTGTGCATGCAAACAGACTGGGGGTGCGCTTGTTTAGACCACCACCGCAGACTGAAGTGTTAGGTACACAGTCCCTGAGCCTTGGTGAGAGGACTGGTGAGTATCATCCTCCATCCCTCCTTTCTTTCTTTCTTTCTTTCTTTCTTTCTTTCGTTCTTCCTCTCTCTCCCTGCTGGATGGAAGGCAGTGGGGGGGTGAGGGGGGGCTTCCTGACTGATCTTCCCACACATGTCTGACCCCAATATCCAGGCATCCTCCTGACACTCTCTCTTCACACACAAACACACCGGCCCACGGAAACACAGATAGGCAAACACACACTCCTGTGTTTACCATGTCAGATTGCAGTGTAAATAAAGTCGGAGCTGAGGGTCTCTGATTCAACAGGAGCCAAGTCAAACAGGAGGAGCCGGGTTATCACACTGGGTTGTAATGGAAAAAGGGGAAAATGGATCAGCGTCAGATCGAAACAAATGCTAAATAAAAGTCTGCAGGGGAAACAAACGTGATTCTCTCACAGGATCTGGAGGGGGAAAGAAAAGGAAGAGTGAGCCAGAGGAAAAGAGGACAGAACAACATTTGGCCTGGACGTTCAGCTCAGCCTGCTTACAGTGAGCTCCTCTAATCATTCCTCTATTCCCCCGGGGTTCGGGGAACACATTCTGATATCCTCGTTAACATTTTAAGGAGCCAGTGAACGTCACTTGGTGTTGAGGGACAAACACAAGGACGTGTGGTTAGTAAAGAGCAGTCTGTGCTGGAGTTCTGCCTCAAGCTGTTTCATGTTTAGTTTACAGCAGGAGGAAAATACTGTAATTACTTTCATTATGAATCAAGGCCCAACATTAGATCCAAGCTGTAACCACTGCATTTTCTTTCTTTTCTTTTTTTTTTTTCTTATTTCTTCATCCAAGAAACAGGGCATCACGACTCTCTAATCATCGACGTGCAATAATGAATTCATCATTTCTAACACTCGGTCTTTGACTGAGCATTTTTTCCTCCTCTGGAATTAAGTATTGTTCTAGGCACAGAGCTGCTGGTGGATCGAATCGGTGATGGAGGAATCATGCTCCATAAGAGCCTGTGACACGCTGACCTTCAGCAGAGGAGAACAAACATCTGGAATAGGAATCTGCTCCTCACCTCACAGATCACTGCTGTCTCTTCATTTCTCTCCCTCTCTCTCTCTGTTCTGTTCTGAGGAGTCAACTGGTGTCAAACGCTGCTAAGGAAAACTGAATGTGTCCTGAATATATAAATATACGATCCAAGATGTGAGAGTCGGGCGGAAATATTTGACATTTAAGTTCAACTGTCAGAGAGAATAGAGTAACAATTTACAGGTGCTTTTATAAATACACTCGCTGAAAGCTTGAAGGGTCATTATTTCTCCAAAGTGGAGGTTTTTTTTTTTTTTTTTTTACATTTACATCAGGAGAGCGATCCATGCACTGTAGGAGGAAATGATGTGGCAGCAGAGTATGGTTCTGTGGTGTATTTAAAAGTTAGGTCATTAGAATCAATTTGGTAAATTTCCAGGATGATGCATTCGTCGTTTGGATTGTTCATTTTTATCTATAACAAAACCAAATCTAACTTCTTCTTCTTCTTCTTCTTTTTTAGCATTTTCTGGCTTTTTCTCAAGGATTTGCAACATCTTTTTTGTTACGTATAAATCACAATTCAACCAGTGTTTTTGACTTAACAGCTCAGTGTTGCTAACTGATATACAGCCCAGCTACTGTCTAAAGGAGAAATGAAAGTCTATAAAAATTTAATTCTGGCAAAGTGTTGCTCAAAGTCTTTACAAATGTGAGTGTTGGCTGCAGACAATCAGAGTCAAGAGAAAAACACTGGGTTGTGTTGTGTGACATTTACGAGGGCTGCAGCGCTGGTCCTGGAACCACCGTACTCTGCTGTGTTCTCCACCTCACTGGAAGGTCGACATCTTCGCCCGCTGCTGTTTTTGAACGAGCACTTTTCCTGCACAGACGGACACCTCTAACTCTAACTCTAACTCTAACCCTACGCCTCGCTGCACAGACAGGCCTGACAGCAGCCTTTTGAAGGTGTTTTTGCAAGCAGGTAAGTGACCTCTCCTCCTCCCACACCTCTTAGAAAATAGTAATTACAGAGCAAACTGTAACAGAGAATCTGGCCATCAGCAGAGTTTTTCAAACTTCAAATGCCGCCAAAGTCGGCGAATGTGGATGTGGTGATTCACACAGAAAGGTAGACACTAGAAGAACACCTCATGGAGTCAGTGATTTTTGAATCTAAAAAAAATCATCCCTGCTCTTCACAGGGACTCACGTTACATGAGAACAAATATTTGATACCGATCATCTGAGATGATTGTTGGCGTTTACATTTTTCTGTTATCAAGGTTTTGTATGGAAATCACAGTGATAGACATTAGTGGATGCAGAATGAGAGAGAGAGAGACACACACACAGAGAGAGAGAGAGAGAGAGAGAGCATCCCAAAGTGATGATAATCATCATGCTGCATCCAAACCCAGAGTCACTCACACTAACCCTGGCGGAATGCTAATGATAGTGACCGCCAGGATGGAACATCTGTGCACTGAGACTGAGACACGTTCGTCCTCTGGAGGTGTGAGGGACAGCAGGCTCTCAGAGGGCGTCAGTGTGAGCAAACTATTACATTTCTCACTTTTCTGTGTGCCTGTTCCCCAGACAAAGTGTAAACCACAAATAAACCGCAACAAAAAAAACACAATAAAGCCGACTGCAGTGGAGTCAGTAAAAGATGAGGGTTTGTTTTTTTTTACCTGGGTCGTGGAAAGGCACCAGGGCAAAGTTGTAAAGAGGTCTCTGAGGTCTGCTCAGAGACGTTTCCAGGATCTTGGAGGCACCCTCGATAACCTGGACCAGGTCATCGTACATGGAACCGGTCACGTCAAAGACGAACGCCAGGGTGGATGCGCCCTCCGGGACGTCCTCTGCAGCCTTTGTGGCCCCCGGGGTCCCGGCGTCCTGCCCGGCGGACAGAGCCGCAGCTGACAGGGCAAAAGAAAGCCACAACAGTCTGGAGCCCATTTCTGAACCTGGGGCTTTCTCAGGCAAGACTTCTCGGATAGTTTTTGTTCTCCTCAGTCCGGACCTCAACAAGGTGAATCTCGAGTTAACCGCAGAGACATCGGACTCTCAGAAATAGACTAGAAAGTACTCAGAAAGTTCTCCAGATGCTGCAGCATTGAACAGAGACCCTGGACTAAATGGATCCCCCGTCGGTCCTGTCGCCGCTGTTCAAGTTCCTGCAGCAGTTGCTGGCCGTTGTCTGCTGGATCTGCAGCTCTGGGAACCCTTGTTTCAGCACAGTCATACAAAGACCACCTCTCAGCTGGTAGAAGGCATCTCACGCGCAAAATGCCCCATGCACGAAAGCAAGGCTCTGATTGGACGAGAAGTTTTGGGTACTTACAGAGACAAGGTGTGTTATATTTTGTTCTTGTCATGAGGCGCAGAGTCTAACTTTATAAACCAACAACTGAAAATCATGACTGTATTCATTTATAATTTTATAACTATTATAATATTTTTACTTTCAGGCAAGTAACAATATGACATTTAACTATGTTAATGTTACAAACGTCATTAAAAAACAATTAAAGAAAAACAGATGCTTATTTGGATCGATACATTACACGTTAGGACAAAGAGAAAAAATCATTTAAAGTCAAACAGTAGTCAAACAGTAGTCAGCTTCTGGGCTAATTTATGCTCTGCACTGACACCTAGCGGCAGTAAACCGATATTACAACCAATTACATGCCATTATTATACAATTAATAAATTCCATTTCTCGTTAGTGAGTATTTGTGTTAGCTCAGAAGATTCATTATTATCAAGGGACTTATTTGGTAAATTTAAATATTTACTTTGAATAAATATGTATAAAAAAGTCAAAAATGTAATGTTCGACTAGATTAAGGTAATGCATATATTATACTGTATTAAATTTATGCCTTAATTTTGTTGCGATAAATGTTTTCCTGAAGCAAACATGAAGAAATCTGAGTTCACTACTACAGCAGGAGATACATATTTGTTATTTAAACCTAATGGATCTAGTTTTTTACTCGTGTGGCAATTTTACCACAAGGGGGCGCTAGTGTATAACTAATAACGTGCTGTGGTGACACGCTGTGACGGTAATTTACAGGCCGTAAACGTCGATAAACAAGTGTTGTGACGTGTTTTGAAAAACTTGTAACAACCTCATAATTACTGTAAAAACACGTAAATTCAGAGTGTAACATTTTGTTAATCATTTTGTATCCATTATAGTCATAGTCAACTGTGTCTATGTAGCAACAAACCGCTTTGAAATGTTGTTTTTACAAATTGTCTCGTGTCAAGATGCTGAAGATCGTCCCAGTAAACTAAGGCCCGAAGGTAACCTCCGTGCAAACACAATATTTTAACTCCTTTGCATTTAGTGAACAATAGTTACCTTTGTCCAAACAGACACATAAATAAACAGGTTTAAGACAGATGTTGGACAACGAACAATGTAAAGGAAACGGAGTAGTTATGCTTAATTTTCTAATCAGTAAGTAGTAAAACGTAATCCAAAAATAGGACAGGAGTTCCAGTGAATGTCATCAAGTTCTACGATAAGTTGAGTGGAGACTTTAGACCAGTGGTTCTCAAACTTTTTATACTCTGTACCACCTGAGAAAACACTGAGGAAAATGACTGACGATGTCCCCTAAAGTGTTATTCAAAGAACAGTGAGGAGAAAATGTCCACTTCAGTTACTGAAGAAACAATGGAAACGTTCCGAGAAGGAGAACTTTGTGATTGAATTCAAATGGATACAAATGGTGCTGTCGGTTGGATTATCTCAGTGACAAAACCTTCTTGTCCTCATGACAAAGTTACACGGAAACATTCAAATCCCGACCCAAACCATGGTGGGAAGGACTCCCTGAAGTGATGGTTACCCATGACGGTTTTGCATGGCAAACAAATAGGGAGACGATAGTTCATTTAAAATGCACGGTGGCCAAGAGAACGTGAGTGGTGATTACATAACACCTCTTTTCTGAATCAGGAGTCAGAAGCACAGTTCATTCAAGACACATAAGGATGTATGAATCCTGATGAAACTAGTTTGACACAGCGTCATCACAGATGTATGACATAACTTTGGATTTACCTGCAAACACATTTCACAAAAAGTGAATTTCAGACATTGACATGTACGTGTTCGTAATCAGTGGAGAACAAACAGGACCCAGAGCTCGACTGAGGTCAGTGGATGCTGGTGTTATTTCCACATCTCAGTCCAGCTCTGATAACAGATGATCAAATAATGTTTAGTGACACTTGACTGCAGAAGTGTAGGCTCTATTTTTGTTTTTAGGCCCGGCTAAAATGTGCTAATTTTGCTAGCTCCCATCTCACTTTCCTTTCTTTGGTTTTGGTACTGACGCAACCTTGAACCGCAATTACTGACCTCTACTGGGTTTACTTTTTATTGGTGAACAACTCAATCATTCATTTTTTAAAATTTAAATTAAATTTAAAAACATTTCTAAATCACAAATTTTTCAATACCAACCTTGACCTCGGTACAGTAAGTTAAACTCAGTGACGGTTCTGTTTTTTCCTGGTTCTTACAAACCCTAGGAAATTGCTCTAGTGATTCTTACCAAACCACAAAGCTCAGCGGACGTGTCATTAAAGTTACATAACTTTCTTTTATATTGCATAACAAGCCTCAGCCCAACTTTGGAAGATATTAGACAAACCCTGTGCTGCAGAGCTGAAGTAATCCTCGGCAGAGGGAGAGTGTAATTAAAGGAAGGAGATGGTTGGATCCTGACAGGTTTTAATTTTCACTGTCCACCTAGTGAAACGTGTTTAACCAAAAACAGTTCTGGGTAATGGATGCCATTGTTACAGCGACAGACAGAACACGTTGAACCAGTTTGTATTTGTGTGTGACAATTTGAGGCAATATGACTCTGCAAGTCTCACAACGATGTTTGACCTACTGGCTGTGTTGTTTTCTGTTGCTGACAGAGAGGGGATTGGAGAGAGTGCAGGCCCACTGGACATGTATCAAACAAACAAAGACCACATGACATGTACTGGCAGCCCATCCAATAAGCTGCCTCCCAGACACAGAGCTCTGTTACCTAACAAACCTAAGCCGGGGACTTATTGTTGCTCATCTCTCCAAATTCCTGTTTTTGTAATGAACATTGCTCATCTGGTCAGTGAGGCTCACTGGGCACAGGAAAAACAGACAGACCCTCTAACTCTCTCTCTCATTCACATGCACACTCATCAACAAGTTACCATAGCATTTCTCCAAAAAGGCACTGACTCACAGACTTTGGCTTGGTTGTACAGGAACTTCTCCTAACCCCTAACTGGTGAGGCTGAAGAGTCCCCAGTGTTTAAGTCTGACTCAGTGTCCAGGTTTAGCTCGAGGAAGTCATAAAGTTTGAGTAAAGCCACGTTAGATAAAGCAAATAAAATAAATAAAAAAAATCTTTATTTTAAACACTCTACATCTAATCGTAATTTATTCATAATCGTTGACTTTGTTTTATTACCGCTCGTGTCCTCTAGGTGGCAGGTGATTTTGTGACGGGCAGCCCTGTCTCTGTTTTAACTTGAACTGCAGTGTCTTCATGTTTCTAAAGATAAGTCCAAATATATCAGTGTGCAACAATGCCACAAATTGTACAAAAAGGATCTCCTCGATCTGTATTTATTACAATCAGTCGAACATGTCCTTTCTATTGCGCAACACTGAATACTGACAACTATGAGAGAACTGCGTGAGTAGTATACTGGTATTTCTACATATACCGTACCGTACAGCCTGTCTGAATGTGCCTTTAGTGCCATAAACATTTACATAGTGTACATGTCTTGCCTCTGGGCCGCTGTCGTTCCACTGAGTGACTAGAACATACTGTCATCTCATCCTTAAGGTTCATTTGGCCAAACATTACTGTGACTGAGCCAGCATTCAAAAGTACACATTTAATCCTATGATGATCCTATGATCCTGGCCTGTGATCATACCGAACAGCACATGTCAGTGAAATGTCACACAGTGATTTGGCCAGCATTAGTCAAAAAATGTGATGAAATGTGAAAATCAATAAATCATACATAAGAACTGCTTTGTCACAAATGAAGTAAAGGAATCAGAACAAAAATGTTAAAATGTCAGATTAACATTTGGCTCAGGTTTGATTTTTCAAAAATGTGGAAAAGGAGAAGAGAAGCAGAGAGACAAGGAAAAGTAAACAAACTATTTGTTGCTCTTCTGAGTTTCCAAATAATCCTTTCTTGTTTGGTTTCATGTCACCGCAGAGGCATGTGTGACTGAAGGTTTCTGAGGAAGTGGAAGAACTGGTCAACAACAACAGAAGATGCCACCATGAACAACAAAGGTTAAAAATGGATTCCAACATAATGAGCAAAAAGGAATGTATGGCGGTGGAACCGTGGATTAGTACTAGGGCCAAGCAGTGGAAGAGTGGTTAGTGGTCTTGCCTTACAGCAGGAAGAACACCAGTCTGATCTCCCGGGGGGAACTCACAGTCTTTCATTGTGCAGCAGGAAGAACACCAGTCTGATCTCCGGGGGGAACTCATGGTCTTTCATTAAGGACTTTGTTCTCTTTAAGTGTGTGTGACAGTTTCCTCTTAGGGTGTTCAGTTCACATTAACCATAGCTAAGGTTTTCGATTGTGATCGTCTGTTTCTCCATGAACCTCTGCCTCACCCGTTGACTGCAGGGATTGGCAGTTCCTGTGATACAGTGACACAGTAGCACCTGGAAAAATGAACAAATAAATACCTCTACTCAGAAGGCCATTTGTTTGGTGCACATCTTCAGATACGTGGTAATACAAATCATTGAACAAATAAAATTTATAGTTTCTCAGAAAGAAGGTTCGACAGCCTGGCTGCTCCACCTAAACAACTGCTCTGTGCCCAGAGGCATTTTTATACCCATGCACTTGCATTCTGACTGTTTCCTCTGCGAGTCCTTCTTTGTATGAACTCATACTGTAGGTGTATGTGGGCAGCCTCCATCCGTTCACACCAAACTATAAGCAGCACACACTGGAATATTGTGAGAAATGAGTCTGAGAGAAACGTGTTTTGTCCTGTTCACCAGTTCCTTTCTCAAAACACTGTCTCGACCTTGTGACACAAAAGTAAATCTCTGGTCTGGATCACACTGATATTATCCACACTGCACCACACAGTCTGAGGATGGAGTGTATTCATGTACAAAAAAAAAGGAACAACTTCACTTAAGTCTCACTTCTCATATAAATGAGGAAGATTTTGAACATGAGGAGGAGGAAATGTCACGTCTGCTTAAAAAAAAAAATC